TTTCGATTAAATCTGGTGTCTTTATCCGTTCTAATTAAAAAAAAAATCTGTGTTACGTTCAGGGTCAATGAAGAATTGCGACAGTTCCTTTCTGTTCTGCCCTATACTATTACGCCCTTCGCGGTAATCACATGACTATGTATTACATCGAGACTGCGGGCAAAAGTGTATCGTTGGGCGTGTGGGAAAACGGGAGCAGTGAACGTGCCCTCGCATACGCACGCACGCGGATTGCGCGTAAGATCACGAGTGTGGACGACAAGTCGCACGTGTCGGAACAGAAATATCCGCGCGGATCGAATCCGGTCGCACGTGACCGGGGACCTCGCTTAGAAAGCAAGCTTAGGTTTCTTAGGAATGCCCATTTAGCAATCGCTCTCCATCGGCCCCGAATGGAAACAACTGACGCGATCAACTAGGCTACTCGGTGAGCCGAAAGAACGACATGGGCGATCGCAAGTCTCACAAACTTTTTCATAATATACATCGGACTGGAATTATCGAGATAAGAACGAAAATGAGTAAATTGTAAAAACACAAAAAAACCTGAAAATTTATAATACATTAAAATATAAACTATCTAGAACGCATTTATGAGTAAGAAGTGTGTGTGTGTGTGTGTGTGAGAAAGATCAGGTCTTTATAAATTTCTTGTAACAGTTATAATTATTAATATAAATAAATTTTTGTTAACAAATAAATCAAGCTTTGGACTTGAATTGATCTTATTTTAAAGTAACAGAGAATTTATAATATATGCAGAAGTCTTGCCATTTTTTTTCCTAAATTCACTTTTTATTACCACTTATTTACATTTGTAGTTGCATCTGTAAATGATAATTTATAGCCGCGTGTTATATTTAGAAATTTCAAAAGGATAACAATAATTAATTAAACAATATCTACAAATAATCATTTTTTGAGCAGACCTGTTCAAAGAACAGATTTATCTTTCATTTATGACATTAATGACTATTTCTACCAATTTAGTTTAATTTTAATCTCAGTTTAATTGACTCTTCATCTTTTTTTAGTTTTAAAAATTGAAAAAAATAAAGAGTAAATTGAATCTAGATGATTAAAATTAATCTTACATTGATAGAAATGGTCCTAAGTTGTTTGTTCTTAAACAGATATGTGGTTTGAGGCTTAAAAGATTATTAAATTTTGATTCCAAAAACTAAAGCTATAGTTTCGAAATTTATCAGATCCGAGTGAAAGTTATTTTGTCCAAAATATACTAATTGATATAATAATTCTCGTTTTTTTACGCATATACCGTACGTTAGATGTATCGCGCACGTAATATACAACGCAACGTAACATAAGCGATATCCCAATTACAACCAGGAGTACCTCGGCGCAAAGATGCCGTAGGCAATATATAGACGGTGCAAACAGTTATACACTTTCACTTGAATCTCGTTCAGCTTTACAGCTAAGGGATATACAGGGTGTTCACTATCTTCTTCGTCGAGGTCACATCTCGATTATGCAAGATAGTATCAAAGCAATGGGTAAATATCATGAATGGCAATAAGAGTCCAACAATTGAAAGAATTGATATTAATTATTTCTCTAATAATTAATAATAAAGAAAATGATAACTACAATAATAAATTTATAAGAGAGCAATTATTAACAAAAATATTTTTTATAGATATTGTCTAATGTGTTTTCTTCTCTAAAGAAAACTTTTTTCAAATGTCCCAAAAGTTAGTGGATATCGTGGACGCGATTTAATGGATGTGTGCGCATAATGATAAAAAATATAATTAAAGCTTGTAATCTTAAAATAATTAGTTAATAAGACATATGTTTTTCTTTCTTAATCAATTAGCCGATCCATCCATCTTGAATTCTACAGTGATAATCAAAGGCGGATGGCAATTAAAGGTTGAAATGACTCGTTCAAAATTTTGCTTCGGGTAGCTTTGATGCTATCGGGCGGCAAGCTTATTTGCTGCTGAACATCGTTGTCTTGGATGCGACTGAATTCTCAGGCGTATCGTGAGACGAGGATGACATTCACTCGTCTGTTTACGGCGCGCGATCGTTTGTAAGAAATATTTCTACAATCTATGTGTGTCTTGTAGACGGTATTCTTCGTTCTTTTTGCGATTGGAGAATTTTAGTCCGGAACAACATTTTAAGAATATCGTTCTTACACGTAACACGCTTTTGAGAAATTCTCCCGTTTGTTATTGAATTTTTTTTCTGCAGATTTCATATACAAGTTACAATTACAGTAACAAAAAATTGTCAGAATAATTATTGATGTTATAAAGTTAATGTAATACAATAAAAAAGTGGAATTACATATACAATTATATAATATCATTAAAACGCTGAATTACTATATAAACTATATCTTACAACCAAAATTTTATTAAAAAGCAACTACGAGTCTTTTAAATCTCAAGGAATGAAACAATTAATTTTCTTGTTACTTGCCTTTTTAATAAATTACATTAATATTATTGTACATCAATATTAATAAGAGAGAGAATTAAATTTGGATGAATTTCTTTGAGTTCTTAAAAAAATGGAAACATTATCGTATTAAAAGTCCCATCTCTCTTGCAATAATTAACGAAGTTTAGTTTGGTGTCTTTCTTACTTTCCTAACTGGAAAATTTCGTCGCATCATCTCTGCTCCTACAAATTAAGCGCAGATACGGATGAATACTCTCTCGCGCTTTCTCTCGTATTCAGCTTATATGAAAGTGACACGATTCTTTATTCATTGGTTGCCCTGATCGTTTGTCCTCGAAGATCTTTCACGCCAAAAACGCGATGTGTCGTACATCGTACATGTGCACGCGTGTACCTCATACGTTACGTTTTTTTTAATGCATTGCGAGTGACTTCGATCAATTTAAAAAAGAACGCGAAACCTAATAAAGTAAATTGCAAAATTAGAATTTAAAAAGGTTTTAAGTTTTACTTACTTTAATGTAATTTAATGTAATTGATTCAGAGTTACAATTTTCTGAGCGCGAAATTTAAATCGAACGTAACCGCACATGTATAAAAGTAGTGTCATTCTTTCTGCTTCATAAATAATGCAAATATTTAAAAAAATGTCTTTCAACATCTCCACTAGGTATTCGCCTTGGTGTTGTATCCATAAATAATTGAAGTTAACCGATTGACACTTCTTATAAATATGATTTTTAAAAATACAAAGTCGTTCAAGTGCTGTAGTTAATTTTTGACTGATAATAATAGAAATAATAACAATTATTTATTTGTAATATTAAAAGTTTTATTTTAGATTATAATTATAAAAAAATATTATTATTTTAGATTTATATTAGATTTTGAAAGATAATAAAAAATTTAAGTAATTAAATTAAAAATATACGTTTTACATTTTCACACACAATAAAATTAGTGACTAAATTTTACATAGAAACAAAATATAAATAAGATAAATTCTTATGTAACATGGAAGATATGTATACAGAAAAAAAATATATATATGTGTATACATATATATATATATAT